GCTTCCACACTGGAATGTCTGGCGATTCATAGTGGCCATCCGTGGACAGTAATGTTTGCCTGCACATAAATGATTAAAGGAAAGTCAGAAAAGTTATTCATCATATGAACATGTCCAAATTTAACATATATAATTTATTTTCCAAAAATTTTATTATTGTGCATTTTCCGTCATAAAAACTAGTAATTAAATGTTCTCTCCATGTAAGGACTTAAGCTTGTAGCGAAGACATAAACTGTGCTGAGAATTACAGTGGAAAACTGCTCGAAGCGGACTTTTCGCTTGGAAAACACTGCTTCCAAGCTCAAAAGGTAGCGCAAGTTTTACGAGGAATGATGGGGATATTACGATAACCCGCAAGCAGTCATGGTACAGATCATTGGCGATAGTTGCTTAAGCTTTTGTTCCCACTGCAATGTTTTCACTTGTTCTTAAACGAATACGACATTAGGTTATTCACAATTATTAATAACGATTAACGCGACACAAAAAAGCGTATTGTTCTACTTATCTAAGTTCTCTGTAAGTCCACGTACACGTGAAAGGTAGATTTGTGCCTTTTTAGCATTTATATAAATCAGTTGAACAAAATTATGTATAAAAATGCTAAATACTTTCATTGACGTTTTTCGCAGAATTAAAAAATTTTGATTAAAGGATCGTTTTTAAAGACACAAGACATTCAAGTAGTTCTTCTTTTTTTTTTATTTTATTAAAGGTTTACAAAACTTTCAATATTAATTTTTCCCTATTATGAATATTGCATTATCAGTCGTTCTGTTTTGGAACATCACCACATATCGTCTACCGCCAACTTTCACATGCTTAAGTAAAAATACGTGATGGATGATTCCAAAAAAATTCTGTTGTCTAATCTATAAAGTCCTTTGAAGGGACCTTAACAACCACAGGGATGGGGTTCGTTCCATTTCCACAATGTAATTCTAAAGACTTTTAAGTCAGTGCAATGTATAACAATATATCCCAGATTTACTTCTTATATGTTTGAATATTTTTATGTTGCGAAGTTGTTAGGATTAAAGATTATAAACTGGTTAAGAGTGGGGGTCATGCATTCGTTAGTCGAAGATTATTCAATGCTAGCGAGTTCACTGTCGCATGCATTTTAACAAGCAACAGTGTTTCTAATTGAAATTAATAAACTTTTGCCGGCTTAAACGTGACTGGTGAACTGGGTGAAGAAACCGTGCAATTGATGTCTTTACCGAGATGCGGTGTAAGAGATAAAGTGGGTTTGTGTTTAATAAACGATTAAATTTCACGATTTTCCGCACCACCCTTGGAGTACCGTGATAGGCGCGTTGCCAACTGTTTTAAATGGCTGGCTCCCCTTTAGACCTACACCATTATAAACTTAACTTAAAACTATCACAATACTTACAATAATTATAATATATAGTAATGCATAGTAATACATATTAATACGTAATAAATAAAAATCCCCGCTAATACATACATAATGATACATAACATACACATATATAAACAAAAATTCCTGCTATGGCGTTGCGCTGACATCTGCTAAAGAAAAATATTGTGATTAATAAACTTTATATAAAAAGATGACCACACTTACCATTTGGCCTATGGAAATATCACATGCAGAAGTGCTAAGTGCAGGCGTATGCTTAGTTTTAATCTAAAATGAAATAAAAAGAAATAAATACATTGTAATAATAATAAGCAAAGGTAAATGCAAACCTAGCTTTCGTATGCAGCAAATCTTCATCGATGTGTGGCGATGAGCGGAGAGTTTGACTTGATGTTTATTTTAATCTACAATAGGAGAAATATATAAGCAATATATAGATATAAATATATAATAATATATTTACCTTCACTTTACCGATTTAATACACGATTCTCTTTGCTTGTATCGTGGGCGGGCCTTTTCTACCCTGAAATAGAAAATAAGAAATAAGTAATTTATAAGAATTCATTTAAACAACACATTAAGTAAACATTCACACTTAAGTAAAGCATTCAGGTTACACACAACGTGTCAAGTAACCTGCGAAAAAAATAGCAAAATTTATTTCAAATTTGACATTCCATTTTACAGCTGATCACTTGACATTCGCGGAAACCGTTACCTGCTTTAATCATAGAACAACTTCCTCGAAAACCTTCCATGGCTGTCGGTGATTATTGACCATTGGGAAAACGAATTCTGAATGGTTGCTAGTGCTTGGGCAGGATGCAAAAGATTGCGTAAGCGTAAGCGCAAATCGATCAGCGATCTCTAGACTTGGTTTTCGTGGCAATCCCTATATACATTAAGGTTTAAAAGATAGACCTGTGCGATCTAAATTCTTTACCGTTAATTTTTTACACATTGCTGCTACGAACCAATCTTCAATATAAAATAATATAATAAGGGGTGGTCTTCAAGAAATAGACCAATGTGGTTCAAATTTGATGCACTTATGTCAAGATACTATAACTTTTCATCAGAACATTTATATTTCGTGAGAACTCTACCTGCGTGACTCGACTTCGGTGAAATATACACAATTATATCTTTCTATTAGATAAAGATTCAGCTGTTTTTAGGTTATATGAGAGGGGGTTCAAAGAGTTGTCCCAGCCGAAGCAAATCTTGCATGCCAATTTAAAATGTCTCGGTCATTAGTTCTGCACCATCAACCAGCAGCGCATTAATTTTAGCGTTTCGATTTGCATTGATATTTTTGTTGCAAGACCAAACCGATGAACATTCAAGGGCGTTAAATGACACTTAAAGAATTAATTTAAAAGTTAATTGCATTGTAGATCATTTGCAAGCAAAGTATCTGTACTGGCATGATCCCTCAACAATTCACTTCTGAGGACTGATTGACTCTGCAAGATACGCCTTTTACTTCTGCGGATTATATTTAAGCCAGTTCATCATAGTGTTGTACGGACTATCTTCCCATTTTACTGAAAACCAATCATCTTTTAGTAATTCTCGAACCTGAAAAGAATATTATATATTATAGTGTAATGCGGATGAACAGAACTAAAAATAACTATCAAATCTAGTCTTGGTAGTTTTGTATGCTATTAACATGCGTATCTGAGGCACAATACCTTAACATATTAAAAAGTCAGCTTTTTAACATACATAGGCATAAAATAAATGTTTACAGTACCGTTCACAGTTTTCTCCTTAAACAGAATAAAAAGAAAGGAAAAGACTTCACTAAGAGAACAATTTTTAAATATGAGACGAAAGTTCTCATAAAGCTCTCATGAGCTTGTGAAAAGCTTTTTTTAAATAAGAACAGGGCCCTGCAAGTTTTTATAAATTCATATATGTATATATACATATATATATATATTTTTTATTGAAATATTTTTATTATATATTTGTACTCTACAACACTTGTGTTATATTATATTATATACATATATTAAGTTTGGGCTTACAATATGCACACCTTCCAGCTTTTACAACCTAAGATTGTCCGTCAGTCTGCCCGTTCGATATCCACCCGTGTATTTTTGTGGGCAACCTATAAGTCGCGCTATTAAAAATGATTCGGTTTTGTTCACTTTCCAGTTCCATATTCTGGAAAGTCGTAATCCAAATGTTTCAATAAAACTCGCTGTGCAACAGTATTTCGACTTTCTAAGTTCGAATAAAAAATTTATTTAGACTGGGACAACTGCCTATGTTACTAAGAATAACTTAAGGTCATAGAATATGAAGTATTTTCCGAACTTTGCTTATAGCCGAGTGGAAATTGAATGAACAGTTGCGCAGATTTTCTTTATAAAGAATAACTTCACATAATCAAGAAGCAGCCTAGAAGAGTACATGTTTACTTTCTACATTTAAGTGCAGTGAACGAACGTGCACATAATATATGAACTACAGGTTTCCTTATCGAAATGAATAGAGAAATAAATTCTTCAATTTTTCATTATGCAGGAAGTAGACCTCGCTCAATAGCCTTCACGCCTATTCCTCACCATTCTTTTTTTTTAAAGAAAACAAAGGAAAAATCAATATAAAATGAGGACTGTGACGATTTCACATAAGCAGATGTAATTTAATTTATTTTGGCAAATACTCCAATACCATACTCTATATCTACTTGCGAGATTTCCAGTCTTCGACTTCGTAATCCCATTTTGAGGCGAGACCGGTGATAGGATTCATTTCCAAAGCAATCATACGTTTTAGCCGAGCTTGACGGTTATCTTCTTCAAACGATTCGGGTGAAGCCTCGCTAAATTGTGTTAATACTGTCATCAAAAATGCAATAGCCATCGCCCAAAATGCTATGCCTACAACCAATTTCCATTGACCAGTGGGTGCGTGTATTTCCGCAAATGTTTGACAAAAACTACCGCGATACAATTTCTTTATTTCATCCAGCGTAAGTTTATTCCAATCGCCCTTTTCCTTTTCTCGCAATGCGCAAAGTTCATCGCCGCCTTCGCAAAAACGTATTGCCGGCATAGGATATTCCGGTAAATCCATATAAACTGGTGATCCATTAATACCATAACCTACATACTCACGTTTACCGCTCATTTGATTACAATAGTCGCTAGTGGTGCTGCGTTTCACCACCAACTGTGGAACAAATCGTAAAGGTTTGTATAAGTGATGATGAATAAACATTTTACGTTCGCAGTTATTTCTTTGAACAATTGAAGATTTCATGAAAGAATGTGAAAAGTTTTGACATTTACTTCAAACGTTTGTTAATTTTATTTTCAGGAAATTTTAAAGTACTTGAAAAAATTTTTTGTTTTCTTTGACATTTTGGTTTTTACGAAATATTATTTAACACTTAACCAACTATAAGTGAAAGAAAAAAAACTTGAAGCTAAAGCTCATCGTTTTAAAAACTCACATATTCATATTCATACACACATATACAAATAAAAAAAAGAAAATCTATACAAATATACATAGATGGATGATAAAAAGCTTTTAATTTGATTTTAACGGATATTAATAAAATTTTTATAGAAATTTCTTTTTACGACCTCCATGGTATGACACGATAACCGGGTATAGTATCATCGAAAGTCACCGTTAAATCAATATTATCCTGTAATAACACGCCGGCACCCAATAGACGTCGAAGTATGTTACCAGTCTTTGGATTATATTTATTGCCATACATTTGGAGTTTATGTAATTTAATCGGTTTCTTCATAGTTAACAAAATGCAATTAATTGCCGCCGAATTAATATTATTGAAGCATATATTCAAATACTGTAACGTATAGCATGAGCTGATATATTTGGCTATTAATTCGCCGCCATGATTTCCCAAACCGCAACCATTCAAATCGAGATGGGTCAGTGTACCACTAGAGACAATTGCTTTCAACAAATAAAGAGCGCCATCTGGCCCGATCTTATTATTGGCAACATTTAGTTTACGCAAATATGAGCATTTATAAGACATGTACTCTGCGATAATTTCCATATCTTGGGCTACAAACTCGCATTGTTGCATTTCAATTTCCTGCAGTTTATTTTGCCAAATCATCGAAGACACGGTATAAGCAATTTTTTCCGAATCCAATGATAGATTCTTTCCTAAGATGCGATTACAATTATAACCAACAATAGACTCAGATTTATGAATACCATCGGCTAATTCAGCAAAATTGTACTGAGTTATTCTACAATTGCCCACATTGATGTAACGCAATAATTTCGATTTAATTAATATAGAACGCAAACATTGTACATCGTCTTTTGTCAAGGGTGTACCTGAAATTAGAATTTCATTATATAGTATCACGATAAACAAGTAAAAACATTATAGTATGCTTCACTTAGTACAGATATTCGTATAACGGCACCTCAAAATGAGGCGCTATATGGGAAATGGACGAAACGTTGCACGTTCCCAACTTCACGTTACCATCTTCAATAGAATTCTTCCCTGGGACAAAATACGTCGATACACTAAATTCCATCAACATACTCCACTCTAACCTGTGGTTGAACGCAAGGTTAACACATTGTCAGACGGACAGTCAAGTTTAAATCGATGCAGAAAGTAGTTCAGAATCGATAACCATAATAAAACCTACAAAAACATATTTCTGGGTGTTGCATACACCCGCACGAACTTAATATACCCTGTACCACTTGTGATGTAGGATGTAAAAAATAAAAAGAAAGTCTAGCACTAGTGTGGACCATCGACCACATTAAATGCCCTACATTACGTTGCAGTTAATCAGATGACATCTTCTCAAAACAAGGCGTTATATGCCAAGTGGCTGAAACAGTGATCCAATCCGAATCATATTTAATAGAATTCGCCCTTAGGCGAAGAGAGGTCAACAAATTCTATCGAAATATTTCAAAAATCTCCATTTCTAGGTTTAACAAAAAGAGTATAAAAGGGACCCTTGGGCAACCTTACAAACAAGTTTCGATCGAGGAGAAAGTGATTTTTCTGAAAGTGAAAGATTTAGATCGAGAAAGTGATTCTGAGGATAGATCTATCTCAAGCTCTTTTGAACTCGCCCGATATTGAACCACAAGTCGTGTGAAAATTTATATCGCGTTTGCAGATGTTTGTATTTCATAGCCTTCATTCGAACTTCTCTAACGAAAGCGCTTCATTCAAATATAATTCTTTTTTTTAAGCCTTAGCGAACATTTGTTGCTTGAAATTTTTTCAATTCTTTTACGTTGAGATATGCAAGTGCTGACTAATAATATTCGGATACTTCTCGAACAAAACGGAAAGATTTAAGTTCTTACTACACAAACAAGCCATGATTAAAAAAAAGGAGAGTAATATCATACCACACTATAAAAGCTTTCGAGCCCTTATAATTTACGCTTGAATTATTTTCTTCATTTCACATTTTATTTCGTTTCAGTTCACATATTTTCTTTTTTTTGGAATTGAGCAAACTACAGACTTCAAGCGTTAATTTCCAGGAAGCGATTATTCATTAGACATTGTACGCATAGATATGAGGTTCTAAGTTGCGGGGTATGATAGCGGTAAACATCTCTGCGAAATTCATTAACTAAAAGAAATTGAAAGCCATCATCCTTTCTTGTGTTCAAGGCATAACTGGCAAGATTAATAAATAATGATTCGAATCTTAACCAAAGAATATAATATCAAGATAAGAAATATTTGGGGTTATAAAAAAATTACACAAATGGCCAGTTATTAAATAAATCAGATTTGTCTAAATGGCAATAGCCCTTCTCTGAAATCAGGAACAGCGAACGTTAATTGAATTTCCACACCAATGGCAAAAACTGCCTTTTCTATTGCGTTTGGCGATGTAAAATGAGTTGCCTACGACAGCAAGAACAAAATTTTTAATTACCATGCACAACATCAGCTGTTAAGTGCGTCGATCTCTTTCAGAAATGCGCAATTAAATTGCATCGCTCAGCGGTAACGTGTACAATCGTCATGCAATGAGTATGTATAACATGAAAGCTAACTGGTTACGGCCGCTCTGTCATTTCAGAGATCAGTTGGTAATGTATGTTTGGCGTGTCTATCTGCTGTTCATATATAAGAAATAAGTTTTGTATTTGTCCCAAAAGTTAAAAGCGAAACGTCTGAAAATACGACTTCCAAAAAGATAACGGTATTCCAGTTGTTGTGTCTAGCACACTAGTCAATTGCATGGAATGCAAACCACTATGATTCTTCTCCCAAAGATGTTAAGAATGTTTATCCTTAATGCGAAACAATCTGCCTATCTAAAGCATTTCGTAGACATTAGAAACTACCACGATATTTATTTATTATTTTGCCCCAAAAAAATTTCTTATGAAGTGTGCTTACTTACAAACTCAAAAACAAAAAACGAAAAAAGAGTACCATCTGTCGACAAAGAAAACTTCAAGTTTCTTTATAAACAGTAATTTTTTTTGCATCATAAGTACTTCAGTATGACCATTTCTTTTTATTGGAGTTTCCGTTGGGACGTTTTTAGGGCAAGCTCATGTATATGTATACATATATATGTGTATATACCTACCTTCTAAAATTAATTCTTCAACGTGAATATTATGGACGTTATCTCTGAATAGTTGAAAAAATAATAAGGGCAAATCCATTAGTTTCAATTCGATACGTTTAAGATTGGTTAGGGCCTCCACAAAACCATCCAACATTGTAAAGACACGAAAACCCACCAATTTAACACTAGATAAACGCCGCCATTGCATAAAGTATACAATATAGGGAAAATCCCTAGTTGGGTAATATTTGCGTTCAAAACGTTCTTCGAAGTGCAAACGATCAAAGCGAAAATTCCGATATGGCCGCTTATCGTATTCGCGCTGCCAGCAGTCCAGCATGAGAACGGAAAGTCCCCGAAATTCTTTTGGTGGCGGCTCACGATAACAGGAAATATTACAATCGCACATTTCACAAACATCACAAAATTATTTGAGAAAAAAAAATACTAATAAATTGATTTAAAACGAATAAAGAATACGACTAACGAAACTTTTCTATTGTAGTTTCAATGAAGTAAAAATCCAAAGTCAACGAAAACGTTACATGCATACAGCCGTACATATTTATATATAGATAAATTGTAAGGTATAATAATAATCGGTAATCATACGTTTGCAACGAATTTACAACATCTGCAGTTAACTGATAGATTTTATGCTGAGCTTTATCGATTTCGGTTTTAAGTACAGTGACTCTTATTAATATTGGATTTTTTCGCTCAACAAAAAGTAAGCGCTTGTTAAACCTAGTCCATTGTCCAAACACAAAAATTTTTTTCACTATATTGTACTAACATCATATTAAATATTCGTATCAAAATATAGAAAAAATAAACAAAACATTATTTCAGTAGACAAGAAAATTAAATAATTTAAACAATTTCAAAAACATAGCGTCATTTATATTGCGTTTTTATACCCTACACCTGCGGTACAGGGTATATTAAATTAGTGCGTATGTATATAACACACAAAAGGGATTAAGATAGGCCCACCTTTTATTATACCGATTCAAGCTGCAGGTCGATAGGATGAAATTTGATACAGTGATGTGTTTTGACAAGAACGAACGGTATTGAAAGTGGTTCAGATCGGTTCAATTTTTCGATCAATCCCCATATAAACTCTTTTCAGAATAGGGCGTTATATTTTCAAAAGGACATTGTAATTTTCAAAATTTCTCGGCAAAAGTGGCTAAGTAGTAGTATTTCAAAAAAAGGTATAATTTTCATTGCTTCATGATGAAAATTTTATCATAATAGCAAATTTAACATAAACAAATTAAATCTACCGATTTTGGATCTCGGCCTATTTTTCGGATCCTATCCTGCTGATGAAAATTTACCCATAATATTGTAGTAATTTCATATAGAAATGAACTCTACAAAGTTTGGACTACCTACGCCTGTTTTTGGAACCTGTCCTATGTAAGGATTGAACGGGTCCGCTTCCTCATAAATACGCACTTGAAAAATAAGCCTTTATATAGAAACAAGATGTAATTTTTGTGTTCTCTAATAAAAGTAACAATTACTTTTATATTGAATACCCTACACCACATACTGTAGCACAAATCTTCTTCTCTTCGTACTCTTCCTTATATGAAACCAGTGTAAAATTGGCATTTCAAAACTTAGTCCATTGAGTTTTTACGTGAAATTGCTATCATGAACAAATTTTCATCATAAAACATTAACAGTTAGGCTTTTTTGGCATATAAAGGTTTTCTGAGAATCCCTATATGCACTGGGTCCAATTCGGTAAGGTTGATTTTTTTGTCAATTTATTACTATGAGCCAATTTTCATTAGGAAGTATTGAAAATTATACCTTCTTACAACGTAAAAACTCAGTTTACGTACGAATGGTTATATGAATTCAAAAATATCCAGAAGCTGAACCAGACTTTTTGTGACAATTTAGGAGGTCGAAGTACTATAACACAGCGAATTTTCTCGAAAAATTTTAAATACTGCAATTTTTCCATATAACTACTTTTCACCATTTCCCATCAAAATATCGCAAAAATTGCGATCTATAGGTTGAACACAAGAATACAGGGACAGGTATCTGACTGACAGACGGGCAGACAATCTTATATCGATCAGGAATACGATTCATAAAATGATTCCGAATCGATTGGTATAATAGAAGGTATAAAAAGAGGATAAGCCATTCTCGAGTGTTACATATGTCCGTATTGCCATCTGTATCGCAGTTGGTGTAGGGAATGAAAATGCCGCGAACTCTTTTCTTTATCTGTCACTTTTTTTCCCGATATTTTATTTGGAAATTAATTTTCTCTCTCTTTCTCTCTCGCTGATAATTATGACTTCAATGAACACACTCTAAATAAAGGAATTCTAAAAATGTATTACATTTAGTTAAACAGATCTGTGCAGTGCACCTGTGTATTGAAAGCACAAGAATGTATTTAAGAAAACAGTCACTTTAATCTGAAATGGTTAACAATGAAATAAATATCTCTTTTATTTCTTGAATTACTAATGAAGAACATCGAATGAAGTCAGAGTAAAAAGTACTAACGCGAGGGTAAGATTTGTATTAAAATACTATACAGCACAGCTCTCGGCAGTTTGCATTGCAATTTTTGCGTAAATGCGTTACTTGTAGTTGAGATAAATATTGTAAGAAGAAACAATTACTTGCACTCTAAAAAAAAATTTGAAATCTTATACAAGCGAAGAAAAAAGCAAACACATACATTTCTATAAATGTAAAAAAAAAAAATGTTACTTTCTTTTCTTCAAAATTTATAATAATTCCTAATGTCTGTCTACTAAATTTCCGTTTATAATAAAGTTATGTAAACAATCCCAGACGTCATTTAAAAAAAAAAAGAAATGAAAAAAATATACCAAAAAATTTGCTTCAGTATGTCTGGACACAAAATTCACTGATTAAAGAGATATGTACGGCTACATAACATTATAAGTGTAAAAATTTTGAAAATATTTGTTTATTTTTACAAATGAAGCGCTTCTCACACTTTTCCTCTTGACGATCCACGAAAAGCTTACAATTTGCTTAGGTACGAAAAAACATATAACGTATTAACGCGTTATTATTGCTTTGCTAGGTTGACGCGCGGAATGTAAAAATTCCAGCGAAGTCGTAAATTGATACCTAAACTCATTTTAAAATTATGTATAATATCCGATTAAACACATCTTCTAAGGCCAGTTAGAAAAACATTTTCTAAATAACGAATGCTATGCGTCGTTTTGAATCATCTTTTTCAACTGAGTTGATGTAAATGCTACAGTATTCATATAAAAAGAAACTAAAATAATATTGGAGAACCTACACACTTAGTTACTCAATACTTTCACAAGTGCAAGAATAACCCGCAAGGTTTCATAAAATGAAATGAAAAGCAATTGCCTTTGAAATTGAAATGCTATAGCATCGGAATTAATTACTGTAACATAGCAAATGAATGCTGTAGCATCGCTTTGTATCGCAATCCAAACTAAAATTACTTCAACATTAAATTTCTGGCTTTTGCGGACATGTTTTTATATGGATAGCATTGATTTTTAAAGAAACTATGCACCTAATCTTGAATTACATGTTGTCGCTGTCAACTATCTGGCTTAATTTTTGCGGCTTTGGATTTTGGGATTTCATGCGGAGAATATATAAAAATTTTATTAATTTTAAATTGCTTTCGTAAAATCGTTTTTCTATGAATCTGAGTTAGAATCTCTGACGTTCAAAAAAATTGATATACTCAAATCGAGTCGGATGTATGTAATTTTTGGAATGTTTACAGTTATCTTCTGCTCACATTTTAAAGAGTAAAGAAAAAATTAGTGATTCTTGCATTTAAATACTATTGCACTTTCGTTCGCGAATATGGTACTGTAACACATATCAAACAAAGTGTTTATGTAATAGCTTCGTTCTCCCACTTCTAGGTTAGATCCTATCGATTATTTTGTTTAGAAAGTTTCTTAAAAGTGCCTTCATCATTTTAGTTCATGCTTTCGTCATTCCATTTGCTATACGATTGAGGACATTTTATATTGCAATGAAGTCAGTTAAAAGTGACTTACCATTCTTAATCACCTAAGCCATGTCTCAAGGCAAGTGTTAATACCATTCCTAAAAGAACAATAATTGGAAATTGGAATCGAGCTTTCGTAGTTCAACTCTATCAAAAGGTGACCAATCAAGAAGAAAAGTCTATTCGACTTGGACTGAGGCACCACTCTTAACCCTTAGATGCATATTATTCTTTACATTCCTAAATTGTCAAAATAAAATTAATTTTAAATATTAATGTTGTTAATTGGAAACAATATGCGAACTGCTTCTGGTTTTTAAAATTTTTTCTTTAAAATTGGGTTTTTCGGGTTTTTTTAGTGAATATTAATTTTTAGTTTATGGACTTCAGGAGCTTCACTAACAATCCACCAAGGAACGAGGTTTTCACACTTAGGTAAATTATTCTAGGTGTGAAATTGATCCTGAACGAAATTGAAAACTTTTTTGAGATATAAAGTAAAGCTAAGTGCCAAGGATTATTTTGTTTAGCTTAGCGTTTTTCTGACTTTGGGGCTTTACTAAACGAATAGATGACTTGGAAACTCGCACCAAACACGAGCGTATATGTTCGATTAAATTTTCTGCATATCTCTTGTACATTTTTGACTTTTATAAAAGATGGACAAAAATCTGATGGATGTAATAAATTTGAAAGTAAGTTCTAACCTTAAAATATATTTGGTTGCTATTTATTAGAGTTAAACAAAAATGTAAATGAATCGCCTGCTGCTCTTGCATTTATACAACATTTGTAGGATAATTGACTTAAGTAACAAACTTCTGAGTTTCCTTCAATTTTTTCACACAATTTTTTCTCACAATTTTTTTAGAAACCAATTCGATTCGTTTCGTGAAACCATGATTTTGACAGTCTAATGTTTGTGTCGCACTATAGTGAAGCACGTACATTAGTGCATGTTAGACTGGTTCAACATTTAGATTATTTGATTACCTTTGGATGAGAAAATCAGAATTAAGTTTTCTTTCTATAGTCATGATTTTATAATCCTATACCGAAGAATATTAATAGAATCCGTTGGGAGACACCAGAAATTTAGAATATGTTATGTAAAGCAAGAATGGCGGAAATTAAAAATTTGCAGACTTTCGTTATATTTCCAACAAGACCAGGAAAAACAAGAACAAGTAAAACAGTTCGCTTGATACGGTCATTCACATAATGACCTTTTGAAATAAGGTATTATATAAAAAGTGGTGGAAAAAATGCCTCGGTCCGAACCATTTTTAATGGCGTTCGTCCCCATGCACACAAGAAAACAAAATGGACAGACAGACATTCCAACGGACGTACGAGCGGACAAACAAATTTAGATGAAT